TTATACACTAAGAAAAACATACTTGTGAATATGATCATCCATTTCTGCCAATAGACCCTCCTAAATGTTACACCCTGGACCTTTAAGTAAAGGATCTGAATACTTCTTCCACCACTGTGGGTTAGATTAAAGTTACCACGCATTTAGCATGTTGAGCTTTCTGTCTCATCCTGTCCCGGGATGAGGTTCAGGAGGGGGGTGTTCCTCCTCCTCCTCCTCCTCCTCCTCACTCCCTCCATGTGTTCACGCTCGAAGAAAGGGCAGAGTGACGTCACGCAGGGCTGGTCTTGCCGTTTATTAGCCAGGGAGCCAAGTGCCAGGTTGCAAGAGCTTCACACTGGAGCTCTGTCCGGCCAGCGGCAGAGGGGATGTCCTACTAACTAACTCCACCAAAACTTTCTAGAAACTCAGTCAACAGAAAAAAACAAACACTGACTGACTGACAAAAGTGTCGCAACTCGCCTCACTTCCCCTTTAATGAAACTTTTGACTACTTGTGTGTTTTTCGTTTTTAACTGAAACAGGCACAGTCTGCACATCCACTTTGATTCCTTTTTTTGAATGAGCCGGGTCACGCTTGCGTAGAGAGCTTTTTTCTTTTCTCGAGTTTTTCTTTTCTTTTTCTTTTTTTTACGTTGGGATAAAGTTTCTCTTTATCAGTTAAGACTCGTGATGGCTGTCCTGTCACTAGCGTTACTACTTGTAGGATTTGTATTGACTTCAGCTGACAAGGTAAGTGTCTGTATCGCTTCACAGTTCCCTCATTTTACTCAGTAAGTGTGCGCAATATTGCCTCTCAGACTGCTCCCCGTTATTGTGAAGTGAAACGCCGTTTCATAGCGGAAAAAGTGGGCCGACACAGCAACAGGTTTTCTAAGTGTCCAAAACTTTAACGCTTGGCTCTGTGAATGCGCACACTGCTTCCTCTGTGAAATACATGTTGACCCCGCACACGCATGAGTTTAGCCTGTTACATAAGCCATGTAAAATAGAGTCATTTTTGTTATTTTATTTAATTTTTTTACAAGAAGCTCAGCCTACAGTAAACTGCTGCAGGGCAGTAGTGTTGTTGTTGCTGGACATCTCAGATTATCATTTCCTTCTGGCTTGTGCCGCATTTAACGAGATTCTCTTTCCCTCTTACAGGCTGGTGAAGTAGATAGAGAGGGTAAGTCCTATTTATTTGTTCTTGTTAATAATTAGATGTTTGTTGTGAGAGAGTGGAAGCGATTTTCCTCCACACTGATGAAAACTCAGGAGGACAACCTTGGTACACTGAGATCAAAGTGGGAGGGGAGTCTGTGTGTGAGGAGCTCTGTAATACACCCCCTCCTCTACCCTCTGCTGCCACCCCACCATTCCCCCTAAACACACACACACACACACACACACACAGTCCTCCAACTCTCTCTCTCACACACACACTTGTATTACATGAGCGAACTGCTTCAAGGGCTTTGTTATACAGGAAAGAAAATTCCACTTCTAAATCCTGCACATCTGTTATCCATTCTGAGGTTAAGAAACAAGTGAGCTGCAACAGTGCCCACGTAGGATCCCTTTACACCCGTCTTTATCTTCTGAACACCTCAAGGGCCCTCACACAGCAAGATGACAGCTGCCAGTTGGACCGCCGTGGGCGTTTGTGGTCGCCCGTCGCCTGTAGTTGGCTCTTCTTGGTCATTATCAGCCTTGTAAAACAGTTATTTTACCCATTAGTGTGGTTTCTCTTAACGTTTCTCCTCCAAGTTTTCTTCTCCAATAAGTTAAAGTCGATAGGCCTCATGCAAATTGTACAAACACATTTTGTTCCTAAGTGATTTATGAGAACTTGTCAAATTCCCCAATTTTCTTCCATTTAGAGTTTTATTAAAAGTCATGAACAGATCGACTGCCGTTTTTCACACTAATTTGATGATTAAGATTTCATTGGCATATTACGGCATGAAAATTAACGCATAAGGTATGGCAAGTTGCTGTCTGTTGCACCCGACAGTGTACCATCTGCTACTGTATAACAGTCTATAATCTATCTCTTAAGTTGATCTAAGCTTTTGCTTTAGGATGAACAGTTTTTATTTAGCAAACTGAAGGGAAACAATGCAATTATATGGTCATTTTTGGGACATTGACTATGCCAATGATTCCCTCCTATGAACAGGTGTTATTCATCAGGTTGAAAGGAGTAAGCCTTTGTTGTTTGGAGAATATCACTCATATGAGCAAACCTCACAGAAAAATGTAAGACAGGTTTGGGATAAGTAACCAAAAATATTCTTGCAAAGCTGCTTAAATTGTGACATTTTGTCATATTCTTAATTGAAATCTGAAGGACTAAGTATTTTCGCACAAAGTGTTTGTCAGAGTCTTGCAGCATCAACCACTTTTCGGCTGTGGAATCAGCGTCAGACAATCCAGCAATCCAACAACATTTTAGGTAGTGATTGGCCAGTTGTGTAGAGGTGTGAAAATAGACAGTTTGACACTTCTTTTAGTTAGAAACACTGTCTAGTTTCCTCATCTCATGTCTGCTAACGAAAGTGGTTTGTTCACAAGCTTTTGATTGTCGGCAGTAGTTCTTTGAAGGCAACTGGGTGTTTCAGAGCTCTAAAGGCCTCAGTATGCTTTAACTTAAGTGAGGATCCATGATTGAATATAATCTAATATCCAACTCAACCCATACTTGTCTGACCTTAGAGTTGAGGGACTGTGTCCGACAAGTTATCCGATAATCATGCCCATTTCACGCCGGGATTAGCCAGGAGTGCTTAACATATTCAGGGTTTAAACATACATCTCCAGCTCCCCTTTTTGTCCTGCCTTCAAATTCAGGACAATTACAAAACACTTTTGCTATTAGACGTGGTTAGGTGACACATCATGCAAACACGTTTGTTTGAATAGTGAGACCTTAAGCACACTATGAGCCAGTGTAATCACATTCATGGTGGAGTGAAAATTGTTGGTTTGTTGTTGTTTTTTCCTCCCGTTGGCTAAAGTATTTGTGGTGTGTTCAAGTTCACATGTTTTCAAGTTGAGGTGATGCATCACCCAGACTTTGTCAGCTCTAGTTCTTTGAGATCAGCATGGTGTGTAAACATGTACTGGTGTCCAGACATATTGGTGACAAATTAAGGGACAAAACCAAATAAAATGTCTTAGTAAGTCTATACCACAAGCCTGCAGAACAGTTTTCCCAAGTATCCCAGTGGTTGGTGACTGTGAAGGCCATAACATATGATTCACATTGGTTTTGTACTCCTCAAACCATTCAGTGACCCTTCATTCTCTATATGAAAATAAGTGCAAACTTTCCAAGCAGATGTTGCACTGAGATATAAATATGTGTTTTTTAGCTGGTTTGATAACATATTCTGTACAAGTGAGTTAAAGCTTCAACAATAAATGTCATCATTTAGTGTCAGACCCTCACAATCAGAGAACCAAAAAATCAAAGAAGAGTGTCTTTGGAGTATTGCCATTTTGCACCAGTGTTCAGCAATCACACAGACAAATCTATCATAGCAGAGGCAGAGAGACTAATTTCCCCACTCACAATAGAAAATAGACCAGCGGATGTACTTTTAGTAAGGGATGCCACTTTTAGTCTTCGTTTCCACACTGCTTTACTGAGTGTAGTATGACAGGACTTTAATTGACCCATCAGTTTAATTAAGCAATTCACTTTCTTTCAGACCTTTAAGTCGATATTTGACAACAACAGGTAATGATAATAAAACAAGAAAGACAAAAGAGAGAAAATAAATCAAAACAGAAAAATCCACATCCAGATCTTCATTTAAGTACATAACCTACAGGACTAACCCAAGCTAACGTTCTGACAACACGACTAGTGACTTTTGTGAACATGGAAGTCAATGAGTAAAGTGGAAAACCTTCCTTCCTTTGACCGAATGCATCATTTTGACTAGACTTTGAATAGACTCAGAAAATAAAAAGATACTGTAAGTACATTTTGAACTTACTTTGAACTATTATAGTGCAGAATCATTTTGTTTGGGTTTTTTGGTGACACAATGAAGGATGGGCCTTGGAATGGATGACCTTTAAGAATAATAACGTGTGGACTGCTTTTGTTATTTATTGAATGTATCTCATCTTTCAATTGTGAGCAATTGTGTCTGTTTTGAGGGTTATTCAGCTTGTCAGAACATTTGTTCTCTTTGAAAAGTAAGCTTTTACTCTTCTTTTTCCTAAACTCTTATGGATTAATAGGTCATAAAAAGAATTGAAAGGCCCTGAAAATATGTTTTTTCAGTGAGCTTCTTAGTCCTCTTAGAGAAATTAGGTAATACAGGAACACACTTTTATCTTCCAAAGTTAGAGCGGTTTTTGTCATTTATCATGAAAGATTTCTGGATTCGTGTTTTTGTCTACTCCTCTCACTGTTTTGGGTGGGTGGGGATCAGGATTGTGCGATCAATCAGGATTCAGCAACATATGAAATAAATGTGATGACAGTTGTTGGGTTGTTTGCGTACGTACGTTGCCACTATCAATCAAATGTAAAAACAAAACAAAGTCCTGATGAAGGTAAACTAAGACTAGAGTTTTTGAGAGATAAATTATTGTAGTTGTAATCCTTTAGAGATTAGTAACAGCAATTGCAGTTTGATACTGCAGAAAACACTCCTATAGCAGCCGCTTTGTCAGTAATACAACAGAAGCGCAGCATAAATAGTTTTCATATAGTTTCAAAATGGGGTTTGCGTTTATAAAAATTTTAAATCATTATTGTTATTTGAAGTTTTTAAGAAAATATTGAAATGCACCTGTGTTGTAGGTCTAAAGAGAGTAGTAGAAATAGAGTAAGAAAAAGAGCAGATTTCTTACTCTAAGTAGGAGTAATGGCTCTTGAGATTATACCCTGGGCCTCCTGAGGATTAAGCAGTGAAACCCTACTATTCAAATACTTACTAATCATCGGTGCTAATTCTTGACTCCTCTTTGACCCATTTTATTCTATAACTTTTTAATCCCTTAAAGATTTGTCTCACCAGCTTTTTCGCAAAAAGCAAACTGTGGACTGGAGAAATACTCTATCTAAACTTACATCAGACACGCACATGTTGCATAACCTTTTCACACATCAGTATCAAACAGCTTACTCTGTGCCATTCATGTTTGCAGAAATAGTAAAGTGAACTTGATGTAACTGTGAGGTATTTGCCCTCTAAAAAGGCCATGTTTTTTCATGTTCAAAGGCAGACATGTGCCACTTTGCTTTGGTTGTAGAGCTCTGACAGTGCTCAGTGTTTTCTTATCTGTGTAAACCTTACAAAGTTTCTATGATCAAGCTGCTTTCATCCCTCACAGATTAATGTGTGTCATTTCATATGTATCAGCACCAAATTGGCTGAAAGATATCTTCATGTTTTCTTTCTCAAAAACGTGTTTTTTATTTTGTCCAGAGCGTGCATGCTATGATTTGTAAAGCATGTCATTTTCTCAGACGTGTAATTTGAGTTTCGCCATTGACACCTGTTTAAATGTCCTCTTGTCAAAACCTACAAGATAATTACAAGGTTTTAATATTCATGTTACATTTTTTTCCAACCAAAACCAACCAAAACATTTTGAATGTGTCTGCCATTGCACACATTTGGAAAAGCAAACCAAGCCTGGGTGGAAATTTCCTTTAAACTGAGAGTGTTTCAAGCCCAACAGATTTCCTTGTACAATTGAGTTGACCACAAATTAGCCAATGAACAAGGGCCTCAGGGTAAATGAAGCACCATGCCAAGATGATATTGACTACCATCCAGTATAGGATGCATATTTTAGCTAGGTACTTACTTTGAACATTAAAATGCACCAACAGCTACTTAAGAACTTCTAGAAATCATCAAAACAATCATTGGCAATAGTCTAGATGAAATTCTGAATATGTGTGTAGCATTGTGCTAATTATATGGTTTCAAGTATCAAGACAGAGCAGAAAAGTATTCATGTCATACTGTCATGATTGTTTTCTAGATTCGTAAAATCCAAAAACTCAATTAACTCTTGTGTAGTGTCTTGGCATTTTGAAGTCTTCCAACTGATGACTGTTGATGATAGTAATAAAATAGACTCGAGCTGCAGGAGAGACCTGATCTTGTACTGAATCGATTTGTTGATTAAAATTTCAGTTGCCAGAAAATTAATCAATAATTTATATAAATAATTAATAGTCATTTATTAAGCAAAATTACCATACATTCTGTGGGACCAACATCTCAAATGTGAGGAATTTCTCCTTTTCTCAGTTTTTATATAATTGTAAATTGAATATCATTGGGTTTTGGACTGTTGGTCAGACATAACAAGCTATTTAAAGACTGACTCTGGGAACTTGTGATGGTTGATATTTTTCATTTACTATTTTTTGAGAGAAAAGACAAGCACAATAAAACATAAGCTCAACACAGTAGGGCTCTGCTGCATGCAGCCACACAATTCGGAGCGTTATATCCTCCTCACATCACATGAAAACTTGAATGAATGAAAAGAGACTGAACAAGGTTTTGCAACCATGCAGTAGTGTGTTTTTATTTGCCCTGCTCTCTTGAAAGGAAAAAGATCTAATGTCATTGTGCTGTTTTACAGACCAGCTCAGGAGCCGGCTGAAGGAATATGGCCTCGTCACTCCCTTCAGCACCGACTCTCATGGACACTACCTGTCACACCTGCTCTCTGCTACTCACAAGCAGCGAGTCAAGAGGGAGGTGTTTTCTTCTGGTGAATCTGAACAGAAACTTTTCTTCAACATCTCTGCATTTGGGAAGGAGTTCCACCTCCGTCTGCGTCCAAACAACAAGCTGGTGGCGCCAGGTGCTATGGTGGAGTGGCACGATGAGGTTGAAGGCTTCAGGAACGTCAGTGTCAGCGCTGGTGATGATGCCAGTACAGGCGCCAACCAGACTGAATCCACCACCGGGACCGAGAGGATACTGCGGCGTGAGCTGCTAAAGACAGACTGCACATTTATCGGTGACATCACGGACGTCCCCGGGGCCGCGGTTGCTATTAACAACTGTGACGGACTGGTAAGTCCTCCTCATCCATAAAGCTCTTTGCACCCCAAACCCCTCAAACCCTGTCTTTTCATTACAAAAGCGCCATGACCTTATCAACTGACACTAATGGATTTAAGATGTCCGTAACTCCTGAAGGTAGCCGTTCTTTACGTCAGCACTCGGCATTTTTACAGCACATTGTTCTTGGAGATATTCTTCAGGCGGGCAGACGGAATAGCTTTTTGTACAGAAGTTTGTCATGGGTGAGTGGCCATCCATTGCAACCACAAACCCAACGGATTTCCCCCCCAACCCCTTCCCAACATAAAACACGAGTTCCCTTTGTGCTCCGCAAAAGTCTGCAGTCCTATCCTTCCCATCACCCCTCATAAAACACTTGAGCAGTAATTGGGGAATGACCTGGGCCAAAATCTCCCAGAGTAGGCCAACAAAAGATCTCTCGGCTCAAGGAAAAGGCTCAGTTAACCAAACCCAGAGACCTTCAAATGAAGTTCTCTGCTCCAGAAACATCCTTTGAGTAGCCTTTAAAGCAACACAAAGGATGTACTGCAACTTATGACTCCTGATAGGCCTTCAGAATCAACTTGATAAAAAGATAAAGCTAGTGTTACCTAATATTTTTATTATTAACAGCATTCTGCTGAAGAAACTGAACCAACAATGATTTATTCCTACTTACAAGTACTGTCTGTAGCCAGAATTTGTGGGTGCGCTACTCTTGCACTGAATTTCTGTTGAGCTGCACTGTGTTTGTTTTCCCCAAAACGTCTCATGCTTTAATCATTTTATGAATTTAATTTACAACAAATGGCAAAATGTTTCAGAATGAAGCCTTCATCAGAGCATTGAACACATCGTAATGGATTCCTCTCTAATGCAATGTAAGCTACAGAAGCATGTGACCAGCAATCAAATAGAATGTAAACTCAGTAAATTTAGACTAAACTACATTTAGTAGTAGTAGAGTTCATCACAACCATGGTTGTCTGTCAGTCTATCTCTATTGACCAGACTAGAATATCTGATCAACTATTCGGTAGATGATTGATTGCTATGATTGCTAATGACTTCAGTGATACTCTGACTCACCTGTGAGTGATATGTTGCCCCACCAGCTGGCCAAATTCACCACTGAAATATTTTCACATCAACCAGATGGAGAGGCAAAAAATATTGTACAAATATTAATGGTTCCTAGACAATGAATCATACTGACTTTGGTGACTGACCTGTCTTCCTCTCTGCTGCCACCAGCAGGTTGACATTTCTGAGTTTGAGGGAAATATCTCTGAAACTATAAGCTGGATTGCCATGAAATTTCACATTTACACATAGGGCAACTGTGGCTCAGGGGGTAGAGCGGGACACTCCTCCAGCTGCATGTCGGGGTGTCCTTGAGCAAGATACTGAATTCCAAATTGCGTATGAATGTGGATAAATGAGTTAGCTTCTGTTTGTGATGGCCTTTGCCAATTGTGTGAATGTGGAATGTAGTGTTACAGTGTTTTGAGTGGTCAAAAGACCAGACAGGCCCTATACAAGAACAGTCCATTTACCATTGCCTGCAGGATGAATTGTCTCTGAGTCTCTGACTTTTCTCCTTGCCCCATTATCTGGTCAGTTTGCCCAGTATTTTGTATAACACTACCTTTTTTTTAACCAAATATCTGCAAATCTAATGACAATAATAATGCCATAATTAAAGTACACTGTTTTTTGTGTTTTTGTGCTAAGTAACTACTTTTAGCATGCTAACACGCTGAACTAAGATGCTGAACATGGTAAAGATTATACCTGCCAAACATCAACATGTTAGCATTGCCACTGTGAGCATGTTAGCATGAGTTTTGGATGACAATAGACCTTTTTTACAGTGGCTATATTGATTTGAAATGCATGGCTAAACACAGACAAATGTTACCAAATTATACTAATTAAGGCTTTGATCCATTCAGGTCAGACAGAGTCAGGGTGCTGCTATTGTGCATGTTGGCTCACTGGAAAGGCTCTGCTACACTAAAGGGACCAGAACCTTAATTAGTAGTTAGTATTAGTAGCACCTGTATTTACCTTACTATTTCATGTCAATGCAATAGAATGGCTGCTGTGAAAAAATTCAGGGTTGGTTTCAAGGGATGACGTCTCCTCACTGAATTTATTGTATCTCAGTGTGCCTTGCCATTTAATCTGTTCAACTAAGCTGTAACTGATTTTAAGATTGCACTAGTATTTAGTTGTAAAGGTATGCGCAAACCTGGCTACAACATCAAGAGTAGCCTTTACTGTTGCATATCAAAAGGCAGCACGTGATCCATGGCTATGATGATAGTGAGCAAGAGATCCTCGGGGACTTTCACTTAAATCATGAAACATGAATGCCTGACAGTCTGCATTTTCTTAGATATGTGTGTGTATCCCTATGATTTGATTCTGCTCTGCAGGGGTTCACTTTATTCCCTTCACATAACAACACTTGTAACAAGGCAGCACATTTGTAGAGAGAGATTCTCACAGGCAGACGTGGGAGTGTGAGGTTTTGATAGTGTTGCTGGCCAGTAAAAACACAAAGTGTGTGTGTGATGTTGACCTGTGTTTTTCAAGGTGATGAGAGGAGATTTTCATGAAAATGAAAATGGAAAATGTAAAGAGGTGGATTCACAAGAGCAGAGTGGACAGGTATTGTTTTGGGTTTTGCACGAAACTTGATTCTACCATCATATGATGTCAGACAAACAACATACAGTATTTCCTCTCAATGAGCAGACTGAAATGAGAACTCTACAATATAGGAAATCTTTTTTTAATGCAACTATAAACTCTCTTGGCTTTGTGAATGACCTTAAAAGATTATATTACACAACACTTTAGTTATAATGTGCTTTTACACATACAAGCAAAATTAATCAATCATATTTTTCCAATTCAGTCAAATAATTACAATCTCCAGCTAATAAGAGCTGCAGTAAACACACCATAAAAGCCTGTCTTTAATAAATAGCATTGAAAGTATTAATTTTTTTAAGATTCCATAACTTAGGGAAACTGAAAGTTGCAAATTAAGATCTGGAAAAAACATGGTGTAAAAACAGTTTTGGAGTGAGGCAGGAATAAAGAAAGTATCATCAGTCCAAATGAAAGATGACTGAATCCCATGAAACAGGCTCTTGAACTTCCCAGTAAACAGATAAGCAATTCACATTTGAATTTTTTCCATTTTGCTTTACAAAAACATTTAATTGATTATCAAAATTGTTGGCAACTGTTTTTTCAACAATCTCAAACTTATGCTGCTGGTATGAAATTTCAGAGTTTTTCTATTTCCAACCAATTGTAAATAATTACACTTTGGATTGATACTTCTTTGTTGTTCCACTGCAGCAATCTATTTTGACAGGAAGTGGATTACGTTACAGGACCTAAGACTACCATCATGGGACCTTTAAAATCTCAAAAGCTAAAAAAATAATGTGTAAACTTGCTCATCAGAGTTCAGGTATTTAAAAGCAGATGTTGCATAGCTCCCTCACACAAGAAGAAAACATGGACAATCTGGACAATGAGGGACTAATAATTAATAAATTACATAAAATAATATTCACAAAAATGTTTTATTTAATATATTTATTCCTGTCTTCGTAAACAATGCGACATCACCATAAGGAAGGCCCTTCCACACAGCACTGTCTGTTATCTGTCTGCTGGCTGTCTGAATTCATGTGAATGCAGCATTTTTAACAGAAAGCAGCATCCTAATGAATCACATATAATATTTCTGACACACTGTTATTCATCTAAAAATAGTTTTATGATGTTGTTGTCTGACAGACAGCTCTGTAGAGAAGATATTAAAGGACAATTTGTATATTAAGTGGGAGTACAAAGAATCAGAATATGAATTACACCTCGCTGCATGACTCATTTAAAGTGTAGGTTTGACGCCATTATTAAATCCTGTTTCTTTTTGCCCCCTGAGGCCTCAGCTCTGCCCCTGAGAAATGGTAATATTATACCGACTGTCAATCAGTGTATTATTATCATATTATTATAATATAATGTTAATATAATTTTATCTTTGGATACAAAATCTAATGGAGTTCACGTTTCTGTCATTGCATCGTCAAGCTCAGTGTAATGACGTTGACACTGAATCAAACTTAAGAAAATAGCAGCAGAAAACTGAGAGTTCAGAAAATGGAAGCTAGTTAGCCTAGCTCGCTAATGTCCTGTCCCTGAGTTTTATTGAAGAGGGAAAAAGCTCAGGGCGCCCAGTAGCTCACCTGGTTGAGTGTGCACCCCATGTAGGCTGAGGCCTTATGGCAGTGGCTTGGGTTCGATTCTGACTGGCAGCCATTTACTGCATGTCATCCCCACTCTCTCTCCCCTTTCTGTCACTATCAAATAAAGGCATAAAAGACCTGAAATGTTTAACCACTTTACTTCATTTTTTCTGAAGTGACCAACTGCAGCATCCCTGTATGAACTCCTAAATATAATCTCTAATATAAATATAAATATTACATTGGCAGTCAAGCACATGTCCTAAATAAAGGCAATGCCAGTCTGACCTTTAAGTCACTCCTGTACACTGCAGGATTTGGCCATTTCCTTTGATTGGAGCGGGAGGAAGCAGTTCATCACTTGGGCTGATTCTGTCTCTCCAAGACATTTATAGCTGAACCTTGCAGGAGATTCAGGCCTGAGAGGGGGCCACACAGGATGTGAGTTTTGCTTTGTAAATACTGTTGTGGCAGGATGTCACTTTGAAGATGCCAACAGTCATCAAAGGGTCAGTCGCTTTGCCCAGTGGAAGGCTGATCTGAAAAGACTGCTGTTGCATACAACACTGTACTGTATGATATCACACTACAGTGGACCATTATATCAGTGTTTGTCTTATATATAAGACAAACACTGATATAATGGTCCACTGTAGTTTTTATATAAATATAAAAAATATATTTTTTTATATTTATATATTTATATTTTATATATTTTTTGCACTTTGCAAA